CAGAAGGTTTACTTCGATTAACTGTAGGAATATCAGTTTTGAGGGGTTTACCGTAGACCATAGCTAAGGAGTAGAGGAGCTCGTGATTGAATAGATGTAAATTCAGACCCGGGAAGCGCAGCCATACAGGAATGGTAAAAGGTTTAGTGAAAGGATCAAAGTCGACCGTCCATTTTAAAACTTTGAATTGAGTGCAATGAGAGCATGAATGATATATTTATATTGATTATTTATATGTGAATAATTAACTATGATGAAGTAACTAATTTATGATACACGCGGAAAAACGCTAAGGTACTCGTGCACGTAAATAAAAAATGAAATTAATATTGAAATATATTAACTGGTACAATTTTTAGACGGTACTTGTGTGATGGTTGCACAAATATAAAATGAAAAAGATAAGTTTTGAATATAATAATACTCATTGAATAGGATCATATCTTTTAAATACCAAATGTTTATATTGATTGATTAAAAAATTTTAACTAGCATGCATATTACTTTTTTATCCATTTATATTATTTTAGTTTAGCACTATCAGTATTCACCGGCTTATTTAGCTCACTATCATTTTGAAACGAATTTTTTTAATGTTAAGTTATTTGATTCAAAAATGAACGATAAAAGAGAAAATATTCATATAAGATGCGGACAACCTGTAATAAAGTAAATTTAATTTAATTTAATTAGTGGCTCATTCATTCGTTAATATTTAGCTATAGAAAATAATTAAAGGAAACTTTATTGCCAATCACCTACCTTGGTTAATTCCAAGCCCCGAGTCGGGTCGTGACAATTATACGACTCTTCAGTTTAGAGTTTGGGAGAGGTTTCATGCCTTTTAAATTGTAGGAATTAAGAAAAATCATCTAACTCTAGAATTGTAAGTGTTTATCTTTGTATTTATGTTGAATTGTTTGGATTACTAAAGAAGAATATTTGATTTGCCGTACTTTTGTGAAAATTCATACACATTTCCATGTTGGGTCGTATCAAATTGATATCAGAACATTTCAATTCAAAAAGAATTGCGGCTAGAATATAATTCCACGTCCTACCTACTGAATGGACTCGCAGCAGAACCTGAATCTCCCAAATTTCTCCTCTCACGTTCGGTTGTGTGATAGGGTCACGATCAAGCTTGGGAAGTGACAAAGGGCTCGCAGTAAAGACCAAAATCTCCTATCTTCCACCTCCATTGCAACAGAGAGAACTGGTGGAAAAGGCAACGAAGAGGTGGCAGCTTACAAATCCAAAGCGTCGATCTTTCTCCTCCCGCTCCCTGGACGTGATACAGTCGCAATTAGAGCTTGTTGAGAACGCAAACACACGGCGTACAGAGGCTTGGACTTATCTTACGTGGCATAATGAGACCCCAGACTCATCTTTCTTTTCTTCCAATTCTAGTGTGTGATCAAATTGAAATCATTGCGGCATTACAAAGTACAGATGTTTCTATCTTTTGTGATCAAATGCTTACCAGGACATAATGGCAGCAAAGAAAATAGATTATATGGAAAAGACATTGGAGGATGATGTAAGCCAACACAAATCCGGGATAAAGAAAAGGCTCTCTGCCATAGAAGAAAAGTTTTCCTTCATAGAATATAGGTTTTCTTCCAAGAAAAACTAATTCAAAAGCTTGGAGGAGATGATAAGAAAGCTTATTTAAATGCAATCCAAGACCTCATCGGCGGCTCAACTTGCAAGCCCTAATTAAGACTTGATCGAAGATTTTGTGGATAGATCGAAAAAGAAAGAGATTGAACATGAGAGTATAAGAAGAAAAGCATACAGCATCAAGAACTCCTCCTTAGGACTCTGATTTTGAGGAGGGGGGAGGGGAAGGGGGTAGTGGGAGGGGTTGACTCGAGATTTCAGATATAGGCGGTTGGACGAAAACATGGAGAAGGGCACAGCAAGGGGTATGGAAGAGTACTAAGAAAGAAGAGAAGCAGAGAAAATGTATGACTATGGTCGAATAAGAGTTACTTCCTCGATACATGAGGGGAAACATCGAACGAAAAGGAAATTGGGGTTAATATGATAGGATTAAAAAGTTGAAGATGGCAATTTTCAAGAGGGAAGGGAAGGTGCATATGTGTGGGTATATAGGTGGAGTGATATTTCGTAGTTGATGGACTAAATGGGGGGAGAGGCTTATCGTAATCGTATAATGTTTGGAGGGTAAAGCCCTAACATAATTTCATTGAAGGGAGCCTAAATTTCTGATATAATCATGGAAGGAATTTAAGGATTTCTTGTTAGAACGTTTTTGAGTCATTCGGGAAAAGGCCTACATAAGCAATTCTATAACTTGACTCTGGAGGGGATTGTCACAAAACATAGGGGGAGATTCGAGCTATTGTGGGGACAGTTGGTTGCGGAGGGGGGAATTTCTAAAGCAAGATAAAGGGGATTTTTGTGAAACGTGTAAAGCTCAACATACAGACAGCACTATGACTATTAAGACCATAGGGGTAAAGGGAGACAATGTAGCTAGTTCAGATGGTAAAAAACAAGAACCAAATAAAGAAGACCAACAGAAGCAGCACAATAGGTGATATCAGACTAGCTAAAATGTAGTGAAACACAAAAGAAAACTTTATCTATATAAAAATAGGAACACGACTCAAACGAAAAGGGAATACATTAATATACTAATCTCTGGTGAACATTGTACGAGGAGCTCCGAAGGCTGTGGTGGCGTCAGCGGGGTGGCGTGAAAAAAAATGAGAAATCCAGGAGACTGAATGGGTAGGGTTGGTGTTTGGTTGTTAGTAGGTTGTGTTGGGCAGCCAGGTAGTAGAGGAAGTAGAGGCAGCGACAAAGTGGTGGAGGGATATGGGGTGGTCGGTGGCTAGGGGAGAGGGTAGGAGAAGGGGGCGGGGGAAGAAGTGGAGTAGCTTGGAAGGATACAACACCACCTTGAAGGAAGATACAGTCGAAGCACCACTTGTAGTTGGATACAACCCTAGCAAGAGGTAAAAGGACTTTACACAGAAGATTTGAAAACAACACAACCAGAATTTACTCCCACACACACAAAGGACAGCAATTCATAGACTCCCAAAAAACTTCTAAACAAAAGATGAGGGAAGGCAAGAAGAATCCAGAAAACACTGCACTCCTGCCTTAGTGAGAAATTGTGAACTGCCTCGCCCATTCCGCTCCCGCCTACAGGAAGCATCGCGGGGTTTCTGGCCACCGCAGTTTGAAGTGCCCCACTGCGGGGCATTGTTAGAGTGTCGCGTTAACGACGTTGATAGCACCCACCGTTAGTCTCCTGAGGTTGAGGACGCTTCAACATCATAAGTTGAAGCTTCCATTTCGTCGCTAGCCACCCCTAGATACCACTGGTGACTACACTATCTTTCAAGGTACCCAAGGGTCTTCTCCCACTTAAGAGCAAACATTCACCTCAATCCCATCTTTTAGGATTGTGTGCCCCGCATGTACTGTTGAAATTTTCCAAAGTAGCTCGCAGGCAGTTCAGTTTTGTGTGTCGTGAGAGTGGCCTAAACCCTCCAACCTGGTGGTGGAGCTGGTAGAACGGTGTCGACTATGAGACCCTAAAACCTTTTTTGTCGTATTTGTTCCATATTTGGAGTTGTTATCTCAGTCCACTCATTCTGTGTCGCCACTAATCCTAGTTCCACTGATGTTGTTTTGTTGGTAACCTTGTGTAAGAACAAAAAATTAAATTATATAAAAATAATAATAATAATAATAATAACTAATTAATTAAAATATGTTGTGGTTTGAGGAGACGCGTTATAACAAATTTGTCGCATTCCTCATTCGAACAAAACAAAGCATAACGAGCGAGGAAGAGTAAAGGAAGCCATATAGTAGAAGGGAGAAGGAAGAGGTTGTGGTTAATGTATAACTTTGTGGCCTAGCCAGGAAGGAGGCGGCGACATCAAAGACCGTCTTGGAACTAGCCGCAACCGAAGATGTGTACTCTTCACGAGAGAAGCCAAAGTAATGCAAGGAAACAACAAACCTTGTGTGCCACTGTTAAGGTTGTTTAGCCTTGTGGCTTTGTTCACATATAGAAAGAAGAACAGAAGGGGAGTCGATGTCGGCGAAACGATATGTGCTTCTTCGTGTGCATAGGAAGGAAGGGGTTGTGTCTGTGCTCTGCTAGGGTGAGACGGGCCCGAAGGAGCTCACACAATCGAGCCGCGTAAAGTAGGATGGGGTAAGCTTCGTGCGTGAGCTAGAGCATAGGTAAGTTATATAAGGTTTGCTTAATATTTTTTTATAAGTTAATGAATATGTTATTATATATACAAATTTTATGTGTGTGTGTGTTTAAATGCAAGATAAAAATTTAATTAGGACATCAAAAAAATGATTTCATATTCAAAGGAAAACTTAGAGGAGCGTAGGAGTTAGGAGGATCGGTCTGAGCAACTTATAAGATAAATATTAATGATATATTGTTATTAGAACAAATAGTATAATTATTTAAATTAATGTTATTAAATTGTTTATGTAATCAGAAGGGTGTAAAAGACTGATAAATTTTCAAATTTTGAGGAAGATTGAGAACTTTAAGGTCAATAGAGGTTAGAGTTTTTAGTCATTCTTGCATCTTTATCATTTCTTTCTGGTGCATAACTGATAGCAATCCAAAAATATAACTTAAAAAAAAAAAAAGCACTCATAATTGACCTCTTTAATGATTCATTTATTCATTGATTACAAATAGATGTCATGAATCCTTATTTACATGAATAGGTTATAAAGATAAAATCAAATAGTTTGAAACCAAATCTAATACTATCTAAAACTAAATCTAATTTTAAAAAAAAACAAATTCAAAATAAAAGATTATTAAAAAAATAATAATTTAGCCTATTAAAAAAAAAAAGACAAACCCTGAAACACAAATTCCTGATATCAAGAAATGCATTAATAAATAAGCGAAGACTATAAAACATGGTTGGGGGATTACAAAAATGATACGAACTAAAATCCATAATCCATACCTTGGCCCTCGAGTCATATTGAAGCACTTCCGATAGATTATCAAGCAAAGCATAAGCTAGTTTTCTAAGGCATAATTACAAAAGAACAACATGAAAAAATTAGTTGAAATTACTATGAGTAACTTAGAAAAGAAACTAGGAGGGTGAAAATGTACCTTAAGCAAGGAACAATAGCTGCAGCCACACACATCATAAAAACAGCCTGAAGAACATGAATAGACAAATTCTAGTAACAAAAAAAAATTGGGCGAAATAGCCATTGTTCTTGCAATCTCAAATAAAAAGCATGCCTTTGCTTTCAAATGTGTAATGCCAACACATTGTACCATCAATAAAACATAAGATATCAAAGATAGCCAGAGAGGTAAAAATAAAAAATAATTTTTCTCTACGTTGCAGCTAATACCAGTTGACAACCTCCACAGTGGTTATAAGAATTATATGCTACAACAGGCTTCTCAACTCCTATAACTAGTGTAAAGACAAAATTCAAATATAGACGGACAAAAAATGTGATTCATACACATTTTTGACATAAACAAACATATTTTAAGTATGCTTTTTATCCTAGAAAGGTGGATTTTGGCATAGAGGATTAAAATAAAAATAGCACGAAATAGAAAGTACGATAAGAAGTTTCAAACTGATGTAATACGAAGCAGAATTTATCGTAAGAATCACACTACCTCTACTTCAACTTTCTCACTGAAAAATGCTAGATGAGCAAGAGTGATGATTGCAGACTCAATTCCAAGAACAGGCTGAGCACCAAGTGCTATAACTTCATGGGCTTTGACTACTCTTTCTTTAGACGTCCTAACCAACTCAACCCCAAAATTGGAACTGCCAAAAAGAATACAATTGATTTTTTTTTTACCAAACAGCAATCAACAAGAGTTCCTGTTTAACATTTATCCTTGTAAATAGTGAGCATGAAATAATATAAAAAAGAAGAAAAAAAACAATCTAAGTGGCATCCAACTACATTTAAATTAACAAAGAAAATTCAAAATGACAAAAGAAATCAAGAAAAAAAATAATTACCGCAACTGAAAAAAAAGAAATATTAGATTAAGGCATATTTTGGGCTTGGGCAAAAGTAAAAGCTACAGAAATTTTGGGAATCTTAGTAATCCATTTTAGATCATATTAGCACAAAAGAATGAATTTTATCATGTTTCCATTTCCAAAATTTTGCCAAACTACATAAAAAACATATCATGATGAAAATTATTACCTACACCACTTCATTACTACCATCTCCGCATTTAACATCACATCATGCTGTTAATTTACCAAATCTACTTGACAATCTAATTTCCATTCACATTTATCCCCGAGTGATAACATATCCCAATCTGTCAAAACCAAAGAGTATATTTATCGAGTGGCGTGATCACTCATCTATGCTTCCATCATTCATGCAATACAATTCAAACAAAAGATTGGTTTTTCAAAAGCAAACAAGAATGAGTTGAACCAGACCAATTTGAACCTTATTATGCACTTTTTTATACTTGGGCAAGATTGCATGTTAAATCTTACTTTTTAAAAAAAGATTAGAATAATTTTATCCATATTTTACGTAATTTGAAAAAGGATAATTTAATCCTATACTTGGTTGCATGGATTTTGAAATTAGAATCGATGAATAAGATTGATCTAAGTTGTGCAAGCAAGTCACTCAAATATAATGCATGCAGAGCATCTTTAACTCTGCATCTTATTCTCTTTATTTCTTCATTTCTTATGCCCAATATCATTTGGCGTTAAAGAGAGATTTGTTCAATTATTTACAGTTCCATATTGAATTGAACTCTATATCCTTTCAAAAGGTGATGGATTAACATTTACTAACTATATAAAGGAAATCCTTGAGGTACAATTGGGGGTTCATGCTAACTATTACATTCCAAAAACAATTCACAAAATGGTTCACAGTCAAAAGAACATTTAATAAAAATAGCAAAAAACTCCCAAACAATGTCTAGGTGGTAAGAACAAGAGTAAATACCAAATATCATGAAATAACTCATTATGGCCATCCCAAGTATGAAAAAGAACGCCAACTTTTCTTGCTAGAAAGATCCTAACCCGGTAATCCCTATCTTGAAGCATTTCAAAAAGTCTTCCAATCAATGTCTGCATGTAAGAAACAACAGCCCAATGGTAAAGCAAACATGCAAGGATCTCTAAAACCAAATTCAATAATGCTAAATAAGAAAACCCATAAATGTATAACAAGCTTACTTGAGCAATACAAGGTTCAATTAACACAAAACTGCAAATGCAATCGATCAAGTTTATGCGGGCAACCCAATAAGAAAGACCAGTATCGGCTATTTTCCCCACCAAAATGCCAAGAAGATTTAAATTCTGAAGTCCAAAATGAAAAATACAAACATAAATTCTAAAAATATTTTCAAAAAAAACATTAAGTTCTGAAATTGGATATACAAGTAGCATTGTTAAAAAATGCAAGAGTCATTAGAAGAAATACTTGATAGTAATGAAGAGCTCCAAATTATAAAACTGAGCTTACAATAACACAATAAAGCATTAGTAGTCTAGAATATTGAAATTATCGATTGAAGTAGTTTCATCATTGGAGCAGCAACATGCAGATGTGCAACAAGCACCAAAAATCTCTCTAACATTAAACAATAATTTCCCTTTTATTGCATACTTTTTAAAAATCAAATAAAGGGGAACCAAGAAAGGCACAATTGAAACATTTTTATAAAAATAAATCCTCACTATAACCAGCATTAAACAAAAACTCTTGGTTTAAAGACCCATTACATCCACTTTTCCTTTCATCTCATGCTTCTTCAATCTCTAAATCCATAATACATTGATGGCTACATTGATGGCCAAAAAAAAAAGAGGAGAGCCTAATGTAGAAATATCAATTTGAATGAATTTGGGCTAGGCAGAAGGAAATAATTATACAAAAAGTATTATATTTTTCCTCTTCTTTTCTCTTGTAATCTTGATGTAACATTGCCAATGTTTACATCAACACTGTCAGAGCAGTCTAGCATAAGTTTGCATAGATCATATGAACTCCCAGCACCAACTGGATCCCCAAATCGATAAACCAATGAAAGCATTTCAATATTCACATTGCCGTAAAAATTACAAGCACTCCTTAGGTAACAGAATCCTCCAGCATCGATGCCATAACTAGGTTCATAATCATGTCTACCATGCTTATAATCATTGCAGCTTAACTCACAACCAAATGTTTCCTCATTGCACAATGGACACATTCTCATTACTAAATGGTCACCTGCATATTTTCAATTCAAAATATTTCATAAAAATGCAAAATTAAATACAGTTTTTTTTATTATTGCATGTCATTTTTTATGCATTTTAATAAAGTGATTGTTTAGTGTTCCATTTAAAAAAGGGGAATTTACATACATACCACACAATTCCAATTTATTTGCATATCTAATGCCTCAATTAAACTTTTGACATTACTGCCACACAAATTTTTCATCACGTCAAAAATACCACCATTTCAACTTTTAAAAAGTGAATTACACACGCATAGGTAAGGTGGCACGCATGTAAAAATTGAAGTTTAGGTGCTAGATAGTGATACAAGAGTTAACCCAAATCACAACGGGACGATGATATTATTGCTGAAATCCAAATAGGTTTTACAAACAAACAACGGAAATATGAAATACCAACACGCACACAAACACCTAATTTGGTTTGAACCGGTGGTGGTGGGAAGGCAGCGGCAGCGGCTGTGGGGTAGTTAGGGATGGATGGCAGCAAGAACAAGAGCAGAGGGTAGCCTGTATGCGGCGACAAGGAAAGGGATGGCAAGGAGGGGCTGGCAGAATGTAAAAGAACCGCAGAAGGGTGCAGCAGCCAGCAGGAGAGGGGTTGGAAGGGCAGCAGCGAGCTGATGGACGACTGGGCGGCAGAAAGCAGGCGGCTGCTTGAAGGGGTTGTAAGGTAGATGATTGCTGGAAAGGATTCGGCAGCAAGCAGGAGGGGCCTGGAAGAGTCCACAGCAAGCAAGGAAAGGAATACGAGATAATCACCATCTTAGACTAAGAGACCGCCGAAGCACCATTTGTCCTCAAATACAGCCCTAGCAAGGGAGAATGATGCTGACGATAGAGAAATTGAAGCAAAAACTGAACCTAACCAAAGAAAACCGCACATATATAATAATAGATAACTAAGGAGGAATCCCCCCCCCCTCCTAACCCATAGAAAGGTCCAGTCAGCCCCTGAACCATCCCTGTTGAACCGGTTCAGCCTCCCAACCAGTTCAACCATAGAGGAGCCCCATGTCACATAAATAAAAACATAGCAATTGAGTGGTTTGTATGTAAATCTTTCTTTAAATTAAGCAATAAATGCATATGAAATAATTACAATTAGTAAAAATGATAAAGTAAATTTTATGAAATTTGTGATAGATAAGCAGCTATACTAATAACATATGCAGAGAAAATCTAACAAGATGAGAATTGATAAAAAAATATTTGATCTTCCGACTTTTGATATTAAATTTCGGATGAACCAATTGATATTAGAGGGTTGAAATGATCAACATTTACAGCGGTCATTAGTGAATGGGCCGAGTGACGATCTAATGAATTAAATATGACAAAGCTCAAGCAAATATAATATCGCATCTCTAAGACAAAGAATATACATAATAACAATGAAAATAAAAGTAAATGTAAATACGATATTACTTAGTACAGTGACTTAAATAACTTATCAAAAACAATTTTATGCATTTTTTATAATATTTACATTACTATTTATAAACATATTTATTTATTTTACAGTTGTTACTCATGTAAACCATCGAACAGCATGCAAATTATTTCTTTCTTGTATGTCTGAATCTTATTTTAAAAATAATCATCTCATTAAACATAAAACACACCGAATAATTTATTTGTATTACCATATAAAGAAATACGAGTTGTACAAAACTGAGCCTTTAGGCATTTACAAAGTGAGAACTATTTTTAAAAATAAGAGCAAAGAGTATGCTCTCATTTACATCTTTCAAAACAAACTCCTTTTAAAAGTCAATGCACAATAATGTGTTATTCTATTTTCATCCGCAGCTAACTGTTGGAAAATAACTTGATTGAACTGTAAGAGAAATGCAAAACATGGGTTGACTTGTTAATGGGCTTGACAAACATTCCAAGCATGGACACTCTGAAGTTGCTAATAACATTCAGTCTCCCTCAATGAGAAACATATGACAAGACAATGTGGTCTCAATCATCCATGGTTAAATGATGAGTTGGAGGGAAGTAATTGCTTGAACAACTACTAGTGTTTTATCCCAGTGTTGAAGTTGTCCTTCAATGGCTACAACAAAATCCCCATTTTCATTCCTGATGATGGCCCCAATACTTTGTCTAGTAAGAGGGTAGGATAGCCCCACCCACATTGGCCTTGAAATAATCCCGGGGGCCAAAAGGATGGGTCAGAACCTATTAGGTTGGACAGCATCCCAATGTTCCAGAGTGGTATAACTATCGGTACAAGTCAAGGCTTAGAGAAAGTAAATGCAATGATAGCAGGTGTGATACCCGAGTTAACACAAAAAAATAGGCAAACAAATATTATTACTAATAAAGCCAATAGTAGATTACAACTGACACTAGAAAGAAAAATAACAACACTCAACAATCCAACTCAAATTAGGGTGGATCTCAAAGTGGCGGTGGTGATCGATAAAGGGTAGAACGTGGCGGATGATGGACAAGGTTGTTGGCAAGCAGAAAACAATAAGGAAACAGTTTTCTGGGTTCCAGACAGTAAACACGTAGCAGATATCGACGTCACACAGCTGTCTGGAATGATGTCAGCAAAGTGGGAGGGCTAGAACATCAGTGGTAGCGATGGAGGGCTGGAACAGCGATGGCCGCATGTGGGAGGGGCTAGGATGTTGGCTACATGGCGGTGAAGTGGTTCGGTATGGTTGGAACAACAGTTCATAGGGGTGTTTCTCGTGGTCGTAACAGCAGAGAGGCGGCAAGGGAACTGACTATGAGAAGCTAGAACAGCAGTCAGAAGGCGGGGAAGGCGGCTGGAAAGCAGATACTGCAGAAAACAACCAAAAGAGGTTGTTCTGGGCGGCTGCAGCTGGAAAGAGTCGGTCGGGAGCAATGAGCGAGGATGCGGCAGGGAATAGGGGAAACTAATCACCACCACAGAAGAGAGATACAGCCGAAGCACCGCCCAATCACTAGGGTACACCCTTCAAAAGGAGAAACGAAAGTCGACAGCTGTCATGACTAAACTCATACCGAAAACTAAATCTAGAATATCAAGAATATGAATACATAATAAGAGAATAACTAGGAATGGCCCAAGTAAACCAATCGTCTCCTCAGAAGGGAGAAAACCTAACAGTTTCAGTTTAGGCAAAAAAATGGGTTTGTGAGATGCAATCCCGGTTCCACGACCCGCATAATGCAGGAGATTCTTCCGTCCTGCAGTTTCCCGCATCACACGTCAATCGTGATATTTCCATGTCCCTCGGGCTTTAAGGCGTCGATTACTAGTTTTACACATCCCGCTCTGCGTCAAGGTGTTCGATGTGACTACCCATGCTTCTTAGCATTTCTGGATTGATACACCACATGTCCATAGATATGAGCAAAGGTCGTGTTGTTGGGTTTAACTTTAGCAAGCTCATTCATGGCCTCTTTGAAGTTGATGAAATTTGGAAAGTTGAAGCCCCAACACTACAAGAAACCTGTGCTGCGAAAAGCAACAAACAATTAAAATTAACATGAGTTTGATCCTTCACACCAAGAAAGCCCACAATGGCAAGCAGAAGTTTTGCTTGACCCTTTTAAGTGTAGCCAACCATTAGTGGAGATAGCACCTTTTAAGAGTATCCACAACAAAATGTGCACACGGGAGTGCAGCTTGATCATTTTGAGCAAATTAGGACGCTTGGTTTGAGCATGACTGGGCAGTGTATGCTAAAGAGGTGATGGTTAGCCCTGAATGTATGTTTAAGAGCACAAGTAGATCACTGGGCAGCTCAATTTAAAGTGGGATGTCAGCAATGAAAATTGTCAGGTCCTTCCCAAAACAACCGCAAGTCTTTCAAGAATCCACCTGCCATCATCAATGAAATTGGACACCAGTTTTCCCTCAATTTCTTCTATGTTAATATAAGTTGGCCATTTGGAAAGAAGGGTATCAAACACCCAGGCTTGGTTGAGAAGGCAAATTTCCTCCCCTTTAGCAACTCTCCTCTTGATGATATCCCGCATGCTAAATGCTCCTTCCTGAAGAATCTTTGGACTGAATAAGTTCGTTTGTAGTGTTGGGCTCTAAACTTTCGCCATATTTGCTTTTAAAAAATAATAGTAATAAAGAGTTCTTGTTGATCATGAAGTCGCATGTTATGTCCTCTCCACCTTGACGGGGCATGGAAACCAAGTACATCACTTTTAGCAGGCTAGCAAAAATTGTCCAAAGCTATTTTATGAAAGCTCTTGCTGTTCAAGCTCCTATGCCCGAGGCGCGGTCTGCATTTCCTCAATCTCCTATAGAGTTGATTTTCCTTGAAAGGTGTGCATGTTTGCATTAATGTAAAATAAAAAGAAATACAAGTGAACAGGTCAAAAAAGACCTCAAAAAGATCACAACAAAAGAAACTACCAACAAGTAAAGCTATCCTCCCCTAGCAAAGACAAAAGCAAGGGGGGACATTGCAACCTATCCCAAGAAAATGAGTTTTGCAAAGCATGCATAGCACAAAAATGGGCAGCTTTGTTATATTCTCTAGGGGTATAGCAAAAAGTAACTTCCTTAAACAAAGTTGAAAAGCCTAGCTGTCACCATTCACATCAATTCGCCTCCAAGAGGAATCCTTCATAATTTGTTGACAAGCAGTAATAATATTTAAGTTGTCTCCTTCAATGACCATACCTTTGGCTTCATACATCCACGAACGAATGCAAACCTTTATGGCTAAAATGTCCTCCATCTCCATTTGTGTAACATCCCTCTGTAAAATGTTTTTCCCGTAAGCTACCAAGGGTTCACCTTGCTCTGGGCAATGATTTTCAAGGAGTGGAAAAAAGCGGGGGGACCTCTGATCAAGTGACTGGTCTCTATTTAACTAGCTTTTAATTATACAATTTCGGGGATTATAGAAGACAGCCGCACCAAATATAGATATGAATTTATTAGTACAAATGATCCTATATTTGAAATAATTTTAGAAGATCCATATTTATTTGAGGATTTATTATACATTTTTCCTTGTTTCTGTTTGATATCAATGAATACTTGAAAAACCGAAATATAGATATGAATTTTTTAGTACAAATGATCCAATATTTGAAATATTTTTAGAAGATCTAATTTATTTGAGGATTTTTTATATATTTTTCCTTGTTTCTGTTTGATATCAATGAATACTTGAAAAACTGAAATATAAAAGTTTATATTATGATATTTAATGAGACTAATTCTTCATTCACTTTATCCTGATGAGTACAAATCACAATAAATATCGGTAAAAATATAGTCTAAGTCATCCTCCTCTATTACAACTTTGGCTAACCTAAGAAAATTAATGGGGTGTGACAGTAACTGAAGGCACACATCATATTTAATCCATTTGAGTTTAAAAAGAACTTTGTGTCTAAGAATTTTGCATAGTGTTATTTTCCGTCATTTTTACTTTTTTTTTAATTTTTAACAAACTAGATTGTTTCCATTCTGATGTGAATTTGTTCAGAGTTAAGCATAGTAGAAAACAGCTCTACAAAAAAATACAATCTTCGATGTACTTTTATTTGGCTTTTGATCTCCATGACCACAACAAGGATCCTTGCAAGTTTATATTTGAGAAAATCGCTAACGATAATGTCTCTCACTGAAAATAATATTGTTGCAAAAAAAAATCAAAATGAAATAAAAAACAACATCAAACAAAGTATTTAAAAAAAATTAGCATAATTCCATATCTGTAATAGGGTTGGTGTAGCTCCTGTGACGGACACAATTAGAGAAAGTCGTCTTAGATGATTTGGTCACATTAAACGTCGACCATCTGATGATCCGATTAGGAAAGTAGATGTTTTAGATTCGACTTGTGTTAAGAAAAGGCAGAGGTAGACCTAGGAAGACTTGGGCTTATTGTATAAAAAATGATCTTAATTTACTAGAAATAAATGAAAATATGACACTAAATAGGACGCAATGGAGAAAAAGGATTCATGTAGCCGACCCCACGTAGTGGGATTAAAGCTTTGTTGTTGTTGAGCATAATTCCAAAACCATAAAAATTTTTAGCAAATCTTATTATAAAATATTTTTAAGACCCAACAACTTTTGGACAAAAAAAAAACAAGACAAAAGAGGCTTTCAGGTTAAAGCAACTAGTAGAATGATAAAAAAGAGGAGTAATGCATGAGCATTTAGAGATTAAAAAAGCTCGATGCCAACATCAAAGCCCAAAAATTCAGTAGCCATTAAAAGTGCCAAAACACAAAGAATAAAATCATAGAAGTTAAGTAGAAAAAGAAAGAAAGGAAAAACTAATATCCAAAAAATAATATTGAAGAGGGGAAAAAAACATGCATGCATACAAACGTACATACAGCCATACACATTAATTTCATATCCATTAAAACAGCATCTCATACACCACATGGAAATTTTCCCTCCTATTCAAACATTTCAATTATGCAAATACAAACTCGGCAATCAAGAGTGCGCTCTGCAAAAAAAGATGCACCAATAAATCTTTTTTCATCATCTCTAACCACCTATAGCATTACTACAAAAAAGAAACTTAGCATCACCCCTCAATATCTAAATATGATTGAGTACACTTGGCCACTCCAGACAATGTCAAACTTCAGTCATTACTCCATCAAACACATATTAACAACATTAAGCAGGCATTCCAAATGCATTTTCTCCACACTAACTGGTAAAGCAAATTTCAATGCACTTGGCCAAAAGGTTTTGGAAGTTAATAAAATCATATGTCAAACTACTTGATGTCCTTTATACCCTTTACTAATTGTCATGCCTCATCACCTCTATACCGAACTTCAAGGCATAAAACCAAATAACTCTCCAAAATTAATGTAAATTTGTCATATCTTTGCTCGATCACTCTACCAAAACTTTATTATATAGCCCAAAAACATAAATTCATTTTAATTAGATATTCCCATAAAAATTAAATTTAATGCGAAAGTGGTTCTCTCACCTTATGAATTTTTTTTCTAACATACTGAACAGACATTGTTATTTTGTATAGCATAAACACTATATGGGACACAGAAGCATCACGTGCAAAATTAGCGTGGTATCATAGCTGTTACAGTACCCCGAGAATAGCTATTGCAAGAGATGGGCTGAAATAATTATGTTTACCTTCCTTAAGCTTTATTTCCTTTTATCATTCATTCCTGTCTAGTCTTTCTAATATATGTGTTGTATTAGAGTTTAGAAGTCAGTTTTTCGTGTGTTTTGTTTTGGACAGCCGCCGGCGTCCGTTACCTCCCTTCAAGGGATGTATACGAGGGTTGGAGTGGTACTCCGATTGTACCACTCTCCTAAGGTGGTGTTTATTTTCCCTCTTCCCCTTCCTCATCCTCATCACACCGCCCTATCAACTCATCCCGGACCACATCCCTGCCACGAAACCGCTATCCCAACCCTCTTGCACCGCCTCCCTGCCACATATCTACTATTTTAGCCCCCAGGAATCCAAATTCCACCTTGTTTCCACCAAGGACAGCAAGGACCTGTTGTCCCATTGTCATAACAACCCACTTGCTTTGTGCTCCCACCTTGGTGCCATCTTCCAAACCCTCTCGCCAATCACCACCACCACCCCGAGATCCCACCTAAGTTTAATTATTTGTGTCATGTGGGTTACTATTTCAGATTTTCGGGTGTAATTTTGTTTCATTTTTTTCTTTCATGTGTGTTGCTTGTGGCTATTTATTTTCTTTCAATAACAATGTTTATTTTTCCTATTGTGATTTGGTTAACTTCGGTATCAATAAGCACTCCAAACTTTCCAACTTATATTTTTAACAAGCCTTGAAAATAAAAAATCAAACAGCAAAGCCTATGAATTTCATTATTTATTTAAATACAAGCTAAAAAGTGGAATATGAAAATGATTGCACCTCTCCCACAGCCATATCTTTGGAGTACTGATCAACATTAGCATTTTCGATGGTTGAACATCTGGATAGCAAGGTCCGGAGCAGCATGCGGATACATGTTAAAATACTTTCACAACTAAGTATTGTGCTTGCAGTTTTCTCAAGATTGTCATGCAAATAATTAACCTGGCAAGCAATAGAACAAAAAATTAAGTATAAATTTGTCAAACACCAAATGTGGCCTGCACTCCTAATTATTAAAAAAAAAATCATCAGTATGCAGGAATACAAGTACAACTTAAAATTAACATGGACATAGATCCAGCGGAGATAATTTTACCAGATAAGAAAGTGAAACAGAAGAACCAGGGAAGTACTTGCATAGATTATACAAAATACTCTCAGAAACCTGCAGAAGAGAAAATGCTTCAAGTTGCTAGGCAATTGCCACCATAACAAATACAGAAGGTAAAAAAAATATAACAAAAAAAATCTAACCTTAGCATCATCTTCTTTACGCAGAAATTCAGACAAAGTTTCCCAGGCAAGCACAGGGGATACAGAGAAAAAAGCAGAAATAACAGAAATTAATGTTAATTTACACTGCACGGGATAGTGAAACATGGTTGAACAATTGCTTGTAAGTGAAGTAAAGGAATCTGCATCTCTAGAACCATTTTCAGCGTCAAGATCCATGTCTAAGATGCGTAATGTACTCTCGGCTGCAGAATTGGAATCTTGAAAACCTGGGAATTGATGAGCTTGTGCGTCCAATCCAGAATTAAGGCCAACTGCGGCAATGGAAAAAATAGCAAATGATCTAGCAAGGCCTGCCAAAATTTTCTCAACTGACTGAACGATAAGAAGCAGCTCAGCATCAATTTGTTTTTCATCTTTAAAAAGCCCAAAAAGAGGACCAGAAAAAAAACGTTGCAATGATAAAAATGTGGACCATGAGCCATCAAACATGCTGCCCAAGCTAACAGAACCACCACGCCGAACTTCTTGACAATTTTCATCAATCAAAAAAGCAATCTGGTCAATCAGCATCACAGTGTTGTTTAACAAATTATTGTAATAAGCTCTTTTATCCTCTCTTAGCCTGCAACAATGTCAAAATAAAATTTTGAATCAGGAAATAACAATATGTTATGCAAAGAAATTTAAGATTTAAAGGATACGTAACAATGCTATTGATACTTACAAAGCCTTTTTAGCCAAAAATAACATTTCTAATATGTAATGTGAAAAAATCACAAATTTAAAAATATCAATTAGGAAGAAATTTTGGAGAAAAAGTAAATATAAAATTTCAATGCGCTGGTTAAGCAGAACTTTGGCAGTGATGACTAACAAATTTGTTGATGCAATTTTTCATATAGAAAAAAGGAAAATTACCAAATGAAATTCTGCAAAACTATGAATACAGTACATGACTATATGCATCGACATTTTGCAAATTACAGGAATTTCAACCTAATTGATAAGCATTTAATGTCACGAACCGGCTCGGCAATTGGAATTAACCGAGGCAGGAATAGATGATCGAATGGTAACACTCATGTTTTTCTATTTTCATCTTCTAATTAATATTTCATAAATTCCAAAAAAAATGAAGGAGCCATTAATTAAACAAATGATAAAAGTTACCTCACTTTGTCCCTTCCTCCAATGCACTAATGCCGACCCTAATCTCACCCGATCATTTAGTTTGATTGATTTTATGATTAAAAAATTTTTCAATTGGTGATTTATGTTATGATATAACATAAGGTAAAATTAATACTTAATACATTAATTAAATAGATCTGAACTCAAAAAAATCACACTAACCTTCCTTGGGCTCGGATCAGCTAAACAGCACGTGTGACTGCTTCTTCCATATGCAAGCCGCACGATCACCCAGTTCTCCTTCACTTTTGCTTGAACCCACACAAAAAGACTTAACTCCACCTGGTTTTTATTCTTCTGATATTTTTTATCAAATTCAAGGACAGTATCTAGCTGTCTGATCAGTCTAACGACACCAGTAGCATCTATAGAAGCCCATTCAAACATTCACCTAATGTTGTTTTCCACATTTGACACAAGTGACTACATTACTCTCATCATGGAATCTATCAAAACTGAACTTGAGCTTCTTCCCATTAGATCTTTCTAATTGATCCATATGCTCTCATTCATCAATATTTTTCCCCTTATGCGCCTTTTTACGCTTATATAGAAGTTGAAAGTAAATCTCTAGTCATCTAATATACTCGACTAACATTGAGCAGTTATCAATCCCAAATGGCAGCAATGACTGCCTAATCGAATCCTTCAGTCTGAAAAAAAGAACTTGTATCACTTCTATTCTACAATAGCTATCAGTTGCGGCGCATGCCTCAACAATGCAGTGAACTCTACTTCATATTGCATGAGTGTTTTCTCTTCTTATATCAACCTAATGAATTTTTCATGCATCTATCTTCGAGTGAATAGAAGCACACACTACTCTTTAAAAAGCTCCACAAAATTCTCACAACTTACCAACATTTTGGATATATCCCCTAGCCTAACCTGACGCTAACCACACTACCACCTTTAGCTTCTCCATCCAGTACAAATCTAGCTAAGGATACTCTTCTTCCATGAAAAAATGCATTTAGCATTACTATATTAAAAACGTACAAAAACTATGCACGTGGACATCAATGGTGTACAAAAAAGAGACTTGTCATCTACAAGTATAGTAGATAGTTTCATATCTTCACTACATGCATCAAAACAAAAGGACCACTAAAGGCTTGCTTGGCAAAAAAATGAGCGGTCCTATTACATTCTCAGAGCATATGAAAAGAAAAACTTGTTTAACAGATAATATAAAAGCAAAATCAGGTGCATCTTGTGGTCGTTGGCACCAAGTGTCTCGCTTCCTAGTGGATTGCAAAAAAAGCATAATAATCTCATTGTCACCCTTGATAATGATGCCCTTGCACTCGAGCATCCACGGTTGGCAAATATATTGAAAGAATTTGATGGCTTAAAGCTCAATTGAGCGTTGTCACAATGTTAGAGGTAGTAGTCGGTAGCAATAATCTTGTTCCAATGTTCGTCACAAATGATGCATCTAGTACTGATCGGCCCAAATGGGAGAAGAACACCATCGACGTCACTTTGAACCATCCTGGGGGAGCATGCCAGAATAAGGTAGAAAAAACCAACCCATAGTGACGGCTAGCATCCAATAGCTAGCGGAATGGAAAGAGGGGAGTTGTTGTAAGGATTGTCGGTATACCATACAAGTGGTTATGTATCTTGCCATTGCGGGCTCTCTAATAGTGGTGTATGATGTAACAAAAGCAGTGATCATGTGCAAATTTGTGCTTGGGTGTCCTCCTGAGCTCCTCAATAGCATTGCTGAAGTTGTTGAATATAGGCACGGTGATGCCTCATCTTTCAATGATAGATTTAACCCATCAAAAAAGTGAGCAATTAGTAATAATGTGGTCCCTATCTTCCGCAGTTGAGCATTCCCTAAGACAATTCAGAGAGTCGGCGAGGCCCCTCGTAGCAAGCCAAAAGGTGTGTAGGGATTGCATCCTAGGTCATTTGCCCAAGAAAAATCTTTCCCTTGGGTGTAACTATAGCAGATCAAATCATTTTGAGTTGGTCCCTAATAGTATTCTTCTTTCACTCGGACATGTCCAACTATCTAATTTCTTCTCTATGTGCATCAGTTAATTCTCCGCTTCAAACAAATCTTTAGTTCTCTTGACAAAAGTGGACACAGAAAAAAAAAACATCTTCAAATATTATCCACAACTGCGTCACTTTCATTATATTGTGATCTACTCTTGAATTAGATGTTTCATAGCAGCTATCATCTGGGTTAGGGCATTCAAATTCACAGTTATATCAAGTTGTAAATCCTCATCCTCTGTCGCATCCATAATCTCGAGTGCATCTACTCGTCTGAATTAAAATAATTACATAATTAGAGTTTACATAAACTTTTTATATTATTAATAATAATTTTCTTGTAATTATCATTTTGGTTCTTTCATCAACATTGTATTAATTAATCTTAAACCTTATTACTTGGATATCACTTGTCACAGTCTGGCCTAGGTTTAGAATTAACCAAGGTGAGAACAAACAGTCAGATGACGATCATCATGTATTTCTATTTTCATTCTCTATAATTAACATTTAATCATTCCAAGATAAATGAAAAAGTCACTCTATATATATATATATATAAAACTTAATAAAACCAATGATAAATGTACCTTAAACTTATCTCACTTTGTCCTTTTATCTAATGCACTAATGTCAATCCAGATGTCACCCAACCATTAGTTTGACTGGTCGAACAATTTTACAATTTAAAAGTACTTCAAATGGTGATTTTTTGTTATCAATTAAAATAAGGTAAAACCAATACTTAGTACATTAATTAAATAGATCTGAACTCAAAAAAATTGCCCTAATCTTGCTTGGGCTCAGTTCGGCCACAGAGCATGCAAGGCTACTTCTTCCATACAGATGCCATGCAATTCCCCTTTTCTCTTCTTTTGCTCAAACCCACACAGAAACACTCGGTTGGGTTCAACTTGTATCCCGCACAAAGCCGCACAATTTGCCTCCACACGCAAAGGTTCGAATCTTCGCACAAAAAAAGCTTCGACAGTACTCACAAGGCTCTCTTCCTTTCAGCTGCTAGGCTAGGGTTCGGCAACCTCCCACGCCTTTTCTTCCTCCTCCATGTCAATGCCCTCAGCGTTAACTTCTTCTCTGTCTCTTGCCCTCGCTCTCTATTTGATTAGCTTTTAAGATTTCGAATAAGATACTTATCTCTTTAAAACAAAATCGTCGAGACGTTGCTCCCTTCGGATCGACGCTAATATATTATATTTCCTTTATTTTAATTCATTTTTAATATCATTCTTTTCAGTTATTACATTTAACTCCATAACCCCATTGAATGTGATCACTTAGTACGAAGTACTTTCAATTCATCAGACTAAAAGAAAATTATCAATGATAATAAAATAAACAAAGCGTATTAAAATTATGGATAAGTAGCACAAACTCCATGATTGATAAAATAAGAAGGCAACCTTTGGATCATAAAGCCTAACTAAGAAGACAAGACTCGTATCATAACGTAGCTAGTGTGCAGTAAACCAAACACATCAAAATGTCATCTTCTAAATGAAAAAGCAGTTAGTATCAAAAGTTTATGCTTACCAGAAAGGATCATATTTGTAATTTAAATGATGTGACATAGAGTCCACGTCTAGAAAGATAACTAACCTTGAAAAAAGTAAACCGTAGACAAAATTGCACAAAAGTGAACAAAAGTTGATGAGGTCCCCTAAAACTTCCTTCCCAAATTCTTTGTTTGAACTCATAAGACCTGATATGTACTCTTCCATTTCATGTAGTAACGGCTCACGGATCTGTCGTGGAATACAGATGCTACGATAGTGCTTCCCTTGCACCTAAGGATGCAGAAAAGTTAATTATGACAAAGTTAAATATATATAAAAATAAATAATTATAATATTATTAACAAAAAAGAACCTGAACAGGATTATGTCTATTCAGCACGCTTAAAGTTTCAACTGAGCACTCAAACATTTCAGCATCTAACAAAGCCAGATCTGAATCATCCTACGAGGACAACTAAATTAATAATAAATGGTTCGATCGATTAAACATAAAAGATCAGAAACATAATGGGAAAGAATCAACAAAGAAGTACAACATTTACCTTGTGACATTCTGCAAATATGGATACCTTCTCATAAAAAGGTAAAAGATGACTATAACCAGCAGTAAGAGAATAACAAACTGCGGGAATCAACAAAATTGTATGCTCATTTAAAAAGTTGGGTTCCTGAAATAAATTAAGAATAAGCAATTCGTGCTTTAGTTTAGTACAAATGTATGCTTAAACAAACAGATCAAGATAAATGCAGCCTTTGAAAACAGAAACCGGCAATTATGGAATAAACTGTAATATGTACAATGCTGAAAGAATTTCAATTTTTTTTTATTATTGCTACAACCGAGATTGATACAAATAACTGCTTTAAGTGCTTTCCAAGTCCAAGGGTTATCAACTGTAGAATGTGCTCGTCAACAAACAAAATAGCAATGAACTCCAGGCAATCCAACCACACTCTTATTAGTCACTAATCTACCTTATGTTAATTGGGAACTGATGGAAGATAAGCATGGGAATCGTCGTGATAGAATTAGATGCTCCATCAATGAAAATGCCCATAAGAAATAAACAAGGCATGAATGAATCCCAATTTAGCAACAGATCACTCACCTAAAATAAGATAAAATACATGTTTAATAGAAAATTAAGTATACAGTTATTCAATCCAAAATTTATGGTAATTTGACACGGTATAAAGGCTAAAGCATGTGAGGTTTTGTATACAACTTTCGTTTAGCATTTGGATATTTTCGGAATAGAAAATAACATTTTTGGAAACTTTTCCAAAAATGGTTGGAGTCTATTTACTAATTCATTTATTATCTATTGAGGGGCTTTCTACTCCTAGCTTCGACAGGGTATTAGAGTAGAGCTATAATCCTAAGCATATTGAACACCATTTCAGGGCTCCTTGAAGGGGTTTAGGAAATGGATTTGGCGCAAGTTGTTGTGGAATGGTAAAGAAATGACAAAAGGGGATGTCGGCGATATTTGAAAGGGTGTATGAGGCGAACTCTGCTGCTAAACGGCAGGTTGGACAATTTTAACAACTACCCAGATAAAAACAGAAGCGGCAAAACAGTGAGGTGTGAACAACAAGTGGGATTCATCACCTGTTCTTGAGTAAAATACAGACACACCACTTGCAAAAAAAAGAAGATATAGAACTCTGGAAGCATAAAACTGTAAACGGAGTCTCTAAAAACAATAACAATATCCAAAAGTCTACTAAATGAGGAAATAACAACATATAAAAAATTACCAATAGAAAATAACCCTGATTAAAAATAAAATAGAAACAGTATGAAATCCCGAAGAAATTGCCAATGTGCCCAAAACTACATGTTCAATCTTTCTTAAACTTTGAAACAAAGGCATGACTGTCCTTATTGCATTTGAGACACAAGATCAAAATCTTTCTAAACGTGGGGCGCATGTGACTGCCGTAATTTCATGGTCCCCAGGCCGTGGTTTCCAAGGATACATGATTACCATAATTACGAGAGTCCATATTTTACTGAGTCATATTCCTATTTATATTTTCTTTTTTATTTTTTCAGCAAGTTCTCTTCGTTTCTTCTTCCTTTTTTTGCTTCTTGCATATTTCTCAGGATTCTAATTAAAAATTTAGCACTAAGGAACTTTTATTTGTGTTGTATTAAACTGTTTCATTTTTCAGCTTTTTTTATTTCAAGTATTATAGAGAAGTTTTCTCTAATTTTTACTCTCTGGAGTGTCATAGTATATTCCATTAGCAAGTGGTGAGTCTGTAGCTTGCCCACGAACAAGTGGTGGATCCCACTCACCTCATCTATCTCATAGTTTCACTCTACCTGCTATTTTTCAGCCGAATAGCTGTTGTAAGTGCTTCTAGCTGCTGTTCACAGCATATGATCCCAGTTTTTTCGTTTATGGTTTGTCATCCTGTCATCGTTCAAGCCAAATTTCAATAGTCATCCATCCTCTTACATTTGTTACGAACCATAAAAAAGTATCATCTGGTATCGGAGAATTGTCCTTTTACACCTAAATCAAGAATCTATGCAATCTAACCTAACACCCCCCAAAAAAAAATTCCCATACTTCATCCACGTAGTCCTAGACCAAACCTTAAATTTTGAAGTGAAGATTGAATTGCTAGATTTTGATGGCCGCATAGATCCAAACGAATTCATAGTGGCTCTGAGCAGTGGAACGGGTTTTTGAATATAAAAATATTCCACCAGACGAAATGGTAAAGCTAGTCTCCATAAAATTAAGGAAAAGCTTGCCTCTGTGGCAGAAAAATTTAAAACACCTATGTCAACAAGAGAAAATAAACAAAATTGCAACCTAGTTCAAGATGAAAATGGCGATGTAACGCAAGTACCTCCGAACACATTAAAAATAGGACATATTCTCAATGCTTTATCAATTACAACAATAAGATCTCTCAATAGAAGAGCACAAAGCTGAATCCAAGCAACTTATGTTGAACTGTGAGCAAATGGAGCCAAGAAGAACAATATATCTCAATATCTAAGAGAGGGGGGGGGGGGGGATTGGGCAAAACTTTTGGAAGTTTATATAGTTGTGGAATGTGATATAGTTGCAACAATATTGAACATTACAGAATGTTCAGAACCTAGCTTTAAAGGTGGAGAGATAACACTGGAGTATCAAATCCAAACCATCCATCAAAACACCTCAACCCCAACATCAAGCAGTAGGAGCACACGCAGTCGAGCATCGCAGCATATCCCGCTAGAGGAAAAATATGTTCAGAGTGGAGACAAGGTGGAGATCTCTAACACTCAAATTCATTCCAACCAAAACGTGCTTCCTTCATGTGCTATAGCTTTCGACATATTGCATAAGATTGCTCAAACAAGATAATGATAACTTTCACAGAGCAAGGTGCAGTAGAGGAGGCAAAGGGTGAAGGCCTGGAGGAGGAGGCTAAATAGTAGAAGTTGCCCACATATGAAAGGGAGATGCTAGTGATTCAAGCTGAGCCTATGAGAAGGATTTCAGTAGTAATAAAATTGGTTATCCTAGATGATAATGAGTCTTAGAAGTTGATACTAGACACAAGCTAGCACTAGCTAAGTGAATTCCAGGATTGTTTGACACTAAGTTTACCTCATGATTTGCCACTATTGAGGGAGGTTCAATAAATCAGAGAAAAGAAATTTTTAAGGTATTCCTAAAAGATTATATGGAAATAGATGGTCAGATAGGAGTGATGAAATTCAGTAGTGTTATCCAATCTCCTCTATCACTCCATCAAACAGTCCAACAATATATTATGAATCCTTCACCTGATCAAATGCTTCTATAAATTTCTAAAAAACGGTGTCAGGAATTATTTAAAAGAAAGTTAATTAAAATTTGATTGTTTATATCGCACAACCTACCAATCATAATGTTATTTTCGTTCAATTCTAGGTCCTTTTGATCTCTTTTATGCCTCTTTCTATATTACATAGCACCTCCTTAAACAACCATGTTGATCATAAGCAACTATGGAATGAACCATATTAAAATAAGAACGAGAGGTTGAGACATTACATTCTCATAAAAAAACTCCCAATATCCATTCTTACATGTTTGTGTGACTCTTTATGCTTTGAAGATATCCTTTATCACCCCAAACATTTACCACACAGTGGTCCATGAGACCTCTTGCGCCTGACATATGGTGAACCTCCTCTTCTACTATTTCGCCTTAATACAAGGTGCAACATTCTTGTGCGAGCAGAAGAAATGTTCATTCATCCTGATAACACCCTACTTAACTATCTTGTCACAATAATTGCAATTATTGCAATTCAAATAAACATGTAATTTTATTGACACCAATATCGACTTAATCATTATGTCTCAACATCGGATCTTGCCTATGCTTTGTTGTGGATTTCTCCTTATCCCTTACCATTTCTAACAGAAAAAATAAATTGAATTGTTTTATTCAAAGTTCAAACAAATTTGAATAATCACAAAAACACTAAAAAATTTAAAAAAAAAAGTTTATTTAGAGATTGTCACTTGATGGAAAAATTGGGTGAGAAAATAGAGATCTAGATAGAAGAAAATAACTTAGTTTTTTTTTTTTTCTTTTTTTTTTGGTTAAGTTGGGTTGGGTTGGGTTGGGTGGGGAGTGGGTGACACGAGAGTGATCGTGTGCAGCAAGTAGTGGAGAATGGGGACTAGGGTTGTAAACGGAATTGCCCGTGAACAGTGTGTTAGCATTCAGCTCGATTTGCATATTCTTGTTCCGTGTTCAACTCATTTAAATTAATCAAAAAGATAGATGTAGAGATTTGGATTTGAATCTGCAACATTCTTGTGAAATAGAAGGCGCAAAATCATATGACCAAATGAGATATTATGATTTCAACTAAGATATAAATATATATAATATATTATTATATAAATAATATATATAATTTCCTCATTTCAAGTTAAAATGAGCTGAACACTATCTAACAAAGAGGTGTTCGTGTTTGCTCATTTATAATTCAACTTAAAAAATTTGTTTATGTTTGGCTCGCTTACTTAACGAGTTGAACATGAGTTGTTCTCAAACGATGAGCTTTTTTTATAGCCCTAATGGAGGCAACAACAACAGTGAAAGCAGAAGGCTACCTCGGCGACTAAAGTAACAGGCAATGGGAGCGGCAACAGAACTAAGGATGGCCAATGCATGCACAAGGGAAATTCATGAGAGGAGATCTTCAGAGTAAGGTGTGGTGGCAAAATTAGCAGGTAACTACAGAGGTAGTAAGAAGCAGTGGCAGTGGAGACATAAGCAACAAGAAGCACGAACGGTGACACTAAATATGGTGCATAAAGAATTCAGGTCATAATATCATCGTGAGAGGGAGGGAGAGGGGAGATCACTTTCGCAAGGACTGTAAGTCAATCAATGAAGTTTTAGGTTAAAGTACAAATTAAAACAAAATAATTTAAGATAAAAACTCTGAGAAAGCCTCAATATATCTGAGGCGAGGGGCTCCTTGAGGTACGCCTCATATTTTGCGGCCCTCACCAAATGTAAGGCATAAGCCTCACCTAGGACTCTTGAGATGTGCCCCTCCTACAAACTGAATTGCGAGGTGACTCAAGTTGTGCAATTTAAACAATGAGACAAAGCAAGCATTAAACATCCATAAGTCTATGGTGTTCTCCAAAAGGAGGCCCTGTGACATTACCTACTTTAGCTGTTGGAGCTTGAGAAATCCTCTTAACAACAGTATCACCATCATTAGCACTAGCATTCAACTCTATGAATTTAGTAACTTGGTTGTTAATATCTTAAAACATCTAAGTGATTACAATTAAAAGAGTTACAACGAAAATCAGTATATTTTGTGTGAAGTCCTAAGATTGAAAAGCATTCGCTCACATGCTCAACAAGCAAATAATTCTAATTATAAAAAATCTATTGACAAAGATAGATTTCAATATTCAGGGTATCTCTCAGTTGGCAAGGAAATACCACATGACCTTCTCTTGAGTTTGATGCAAAGGAAAATAAAATAAAATATAGAAATATGAATTAGAAGAACTGTCTCCAGTATGTTAAAACAAACCTTCAAATTAACCAGATCTAAGGATGCCTTCAGTAGATTTTTTCTGAGATGATAAACATCCCGAAGATCACCCTGGCAGTTGTCGCCAAAAAAACAGTAAGTTAGAATATTAAACTCGGAAGGAAAAACATATGAAATAAAGAAGTAAAAAATTAATTGTTACAAAAATGAACAATAAGACAACAATCAGAAAAAGGAAATTTGTCTTTTGTTTAACTGAAAAAACAATTTGTGCAACATTTCATATATTCTTAAAGTGATCAACTTGAAATTTATTCTGCACTCCGCTTATTTAAAATGGTGGAACCCATTTTTCATGCAGTAACTAGATGCTCAACATATATTTGGCATTTCAGTAAGGTGTATAACAGCTTTAATCCCATTAAAAATTTCAGTCATTATTTGGTACAAGGGATAAGACATTTTTAAGTCTCATATCGCACAAACACCTCCTCAATGGGTTTATGTGTAGAATAGCGTGTGAATGCTTTAAAAATAGAGATGACTTTATTTACTGCGAAACTTAGACTTTCTTTAGGGGCAGCTGCAGCTGTTTGAAGAAATACTTGTGAAGTTGTTGAAAAAGAAGTTGTTGTTCAAAAAGCTACAGTGGCTATTATAAAAAAAGATATTTTAAAAAAGTCAGACTGCAACTTTCTAGCAGCCGTCACAGATGGCTAGGTCAAGTGGGAAAATGCAGCTTTCAACAGCAGCTTTTTGAGAACACAGATAAAATGCAGTATTGTCAAACAAGAAAAACTGTGGTGCGACGCCGCACCGCCGCCCTAAACGCGCCCTTAATACCAAATAAGCATTGGTCAACTTGTGTTACATTTTGTTTCACCTAATTTAAAACCCACGGGTAACATCCTAGATGATAAGATAAACAATATTAGTACTGATATTAATATTAATACTAAAATTAATTAAAAAAAATCTCCCAAATCATGCAAATATTAAACTTGTCTTGAACAAAAAAAATTGAACATCCATTCCAACAAAACATGTCTGATATAAAAGTTATCTTAGAAACTGATGATCATATCCAATTGAAACAGCTCAAGTTACCATAACGTAATAGGACAATAAATTAGAGGAAAGTGAGCATTACAATGGTGAGACCTAACCAAGTCAGGCTACATACAATTGTTTAACCTTGGCAACAATACATGATCCTCAAACAAGCTTTTTTGCATTCCAATTATGTAGATTTTTAGCCTTTCTTTTATAAATTTAGCTTAATAATAAGCTCTATCAATCCAAGAGCGACGCAGATTTTTTACAAATTAAATTGAAATTAGCAAGCATGACAATACTCTCTTCTGATCAGAAAAAAAATGTATGACCAAAACGATCTTCTAAATCTCTAAATCAATTCCTAAGTACACTGTTTTATTAAGTAAACATTTTCAAAAGATAATCTTCAAGGAAGAAAGTAAGATGTTGGCTTATATCAATTTTCAACATGTACAAATCACAAAGCAGAGGAATTATAAAGAGAATCAGTGGTTGTACAAACAATGGTCTAAATTTTCAATGACCGAAACTTGCTATAGTTTATTAATTACAAGAATTGATGAAACGAATTTGTTAATGTCCATCAAAGGGATCCTATGTTTCCTGGCAAAATAATAACAATCACATCAAATTTTGTCATCCAGTTCCTAAGCAAAATTTGGAGAATATTGAGAACACTGGAAAAATGTCAAGTGCCCAAAGGTTGTCCAAAATTCCTCTGTATTGCTAGTGAATTCCTGAAGCGTTGTGAATTACTATTCCTTGGGCGTTTGCATGCCGTGAAATTTAATAAAAACTTTCTTAAGGGAAAATACTCTCTATTTTTTCATTAATCAAATAACTAACATATATACAACTCGGACTAATCCTCTTACAATTAGAGGAAAATTCAAATCATCATGATAAAAAGAAAGGAATCAAAACACAATAATGATTAATTAATGGAGCATAATTTCTCCCCTAAATGTAAAAGTGGACCTATGATTTCATAAACTGTGTGCATATCAACTCCCTCAAGTTGGGTTGTATATGTCATACATCCCAACTATCACAGACCCTAGAAAAGACAGTGTGGCATTGTGGGCTAAGATCACTAAATGGGTCGAGGAAATGATAAGAATGTCAACAATTTGATAGTGAGTTGGAATATAGCTTAGTTGAATAACCCCTCCATTGAACTTCTCAGAGATGAAGTGTATGTCAATCTCGATAGGATTGGTTCGATCGTGGTGTATCAAATTCATTGAAATACTGATGGTTGATTGACTATCACTGAATATCTTAATAGTGCTTCAGTTCTTCAATGTGAAGTTCCACCAGTAGTTTCTTTAGCCACATCCTTTCAAAAATAACTAAGGTCAAGGCACGATACTCATATTCTGTAATGCTTCTTGCCACCACAGCATGTTCTTTACTTCTCCAAGTAACCAGTTTATCACATACAAATGAACATTAACTCATGGTAGATCTTCTATAAATCCATTCTCCTGCTCAGCATCAATGTGGATCTCAATGTCACGGTCCAATTTTTTTGAATATTAATCCACGTCTTGAAGTCATCTTTAGTTACCTCATGATATGAATGGCCGCTTCTAAATGATCTTCACTTGGATCATTCGTATGCTGGCTCATTACTCTCAAAGAAAAAGCAATGTCAGCTTTGGTGTGTAACAGATAAATAAGTTTCCCCGTAAGTTTTTGATACCTCCATTTTTCAATCGGAGTGTTTCCTTCTCCTTTTGATTCTCATCAAATGGGATCCATAGGAGTACTTGTTGATTTGCATCCCAACATTTATATCTCCTACAAGTCAAGAATATATTTTCTCTGGGATATAACAATGGCTTCTTTGGATCTAGTTACTTCCATTCCCAAGGAGCATCTTAAAATTTCAAAATCTTTGATCTCAAACATAGAAGTCATTATTCTTTTGACTATTGCAAGTTCTCTAACGTCACTCCTGGTAAAAATAATATCATCTATATATATACAATAAAGATGGTAATCATACCTTTTTTATTTGATTTCACAAAAAAAATATGATCAGCCTCATATTAATAGTACCCATTGGCATGAATATCATTGGTGAACCTTTCAAACCATGCACAAAGAGATTTTTTCAACACAATAATTTCTCTTGTTTACACACCAGGTGATCATTTGTGTTGTTCATTAATCCTAAAAATATCTCTATATACACTTCTTCCTCAAGATCGATATTAAGAAATGCATTTTTGATGTCGAGTTAGTGTAATTGTTTGTCCTGATTGACATCCAATGACAGCAACACTCTTATTGTGTTGAGTTTCACCACTGGTACAAATATCTCCTCGTATTCAATCTCTTAGAGCCTGTTTTCTATAAGTTTAGCTTTGAACCTTTCTATGCTCATTTTTGCTATGTTTTTAACAATGAATACCCATTTGTACCCTATAGTTCTTTTCCTAGGTGGCTGAGTTGTTATGATCCATGTATCATTCTTATCAAGATCAAAAGTCTTTTCTTCCACAGTCTTTTTTCAAGTAAGAATAGATAAGCATTCTTAGATAAAATTTGGGCGACTTGTAAGAGAAAGATAATTTTTCATAGGTCAAAAATTTTTCTATCGGGTGATTTAAACATTCTTATGCTTCTTCTTCTTCTTCTTGGTGTCCATGATGTGTTGACCCAACCTCTATGTGAGTACTTGGAGTGTGTGAAGTTGACCCCGATGATTTTCATTCCTAATTTTACACATTGTCCCTAACATGCTAACTAGGCTTTTTCTTTCTGGTGTACAAATAAAGTTCTTAGTTCTTGGTAGCAGTGGGAGAATTTAGTGTAGTAGGTTCATTTTCAGGTTAATTTGTGATATTAGGGACAAGAGTAGGTTCATCAAGAATTACTGAGAAATGAGCTTGAGGCTCTCGCATGATACCCAAAATTTGATAATCTCTCCAACTCTCCTCCTGAATAGTAGATATGGGGTAATATGTTGGGCTTTCAAAGAAGATGATATCCAAGGAGTTTTAAAATTTGTGTTTGGTGACCCCTTTTTATTTAAAAAGTTGCACACAATAATGCATATGATTGACATGGGATAAAGTTTTATCTGATGTGATTGATGTAGAACAGAAGTTATGCAACCAAATCTTTTTAGTGTTAAGTTATAGGTGAAGCACTGAATGTGGGGGTTGATTTTATGAGGGGGTGAGAAATTTGTTAAAGTTTAGCACTATGTTGGACATCCTATTTATGAGATAAGTCAATGTGACGATTGCATCCCCTCATAAATATTTGGGTACCTTGTTAGTGAAAAAAATTGAATAAGACACTTTGAGAAGATGTAAGTTCTTCCTCTCAGTAACTATTTTGTTGGCATTTGTCAACACAAGAACTTAAATGAATGATGTCATTTATGGATGGATAAGGGTTTAGAGTGGATTTGCAATGGTCTTTTGCGTTACCGGTTTTGAGTATATAAATTTTGCTCTGAAATCAGGTGAGGATCGTGTTGTAGAAGGTTTTAATTATACTGGTAGTTTTAGATTTTTTTATTCACAAGAAAGCGTTAAGTGATTTCGGAGTGATCATCAATGAATGGACAAACCACTTAACCTGATTTGTATTTTTTTTATTTTTGAGGGTTCCCAGATATCACTATGAACAATAGAGAAGGGATGTGTTTGAATGCTCAAGTCGAACATTTCATAACATAACTTGAATATCATGAGAAACGGACTAAAATACAAGACTTGACTCAAGGAATTGTGAATGATAGGATGGTCCTTTTGAAGTAAGAGGTCTAGTAAGCAGATAAAGTTTATGCTTCCCGACGCCATTACCTGAAATTCACACAAAGTATGGTAGAATTTAGCAAATACAATTCATGTCACAAGCTTACTAATAGAGAGTAAATTGCAGTTAATTTTAGAAGCATAAAGAGCAAATTGAAAAATAATATCCTTTGTAATTATCACACTTCTTCTTCCTTCCATAGATGAAAGGGAGTCACTGTGGTTCCAACCACTGCAGCATGATGCTTGCAAGAATGGAATGATTGGCAAAAAGTGATA